ATCAAGAAATTTTATACAATTTTATAAAAAACTTTACATTCCCAGGAAACTGCTGTGTTTGTGAAATGTTCTATTTTGTGTACTATGTATTGTAGCATATAAGTGTACGTACTTTACGTCTAAACAACTTATATGATGGTGGTTTTCTATTTGTAGTGATGTTTGCCCTCTGAAGATGGTCCACAGAGACCGCAACATGTAAGGGTGTTAAGTTTTCATGTAGTAAAAACTTACAGGTCACATTGGACGGAGTGATTTATATTTGCAAAAATTCTAATCTTTGTGTTATTTTTAAAAAAATATTGTTAATTTGTTTCGATGATTTTGTAATTCCTCAATTTTTTCTCGCTTCTTTCCGACATTTCCCCAAACTCCCGCGACACACCGGTTGAAAATCGCTGCCTTAGACGCATCAGAGAGGGTTGGTTGTATCGTCACAACAAGGGCCGCGTCATAGCTCAAGCGGTTAGTCGCTGACTTCCCACCGCGGCGGCCCGGGTTCGATCCCGGGTCTGGTCAAGTGGGATTTGGCGTGGACAAAGTGGCACTGGGGCAGGTTTTCTCCGAGTACTTCGGTTTCCCCTGCCAATTCCATTCTACCAATTGCTCCACAATCACCCTCACCTATCATCTGGGGCTGGTACAATAGGTCAGAAGTGGGCGCAGTACAAGGGGCTTAGTCCAACCCCACTAGCAATAAAAAAATCGTCACAACAAAAGCTACTAGTATTTTGTTTCCGACCGCTCGATGTCACCCACCACAGCACACGTGACTCACATACATACCTACATACATATTCCGTGTTCCGTATTGAGGGAGTGGGTTTCCCCATGCACTTAGACCGGTTACTGGTCCATTGTGAGTCCCCCTTAATACTGTCTCCATACCCTACCGTTACTGGTGCTTACTATCAGCCTCTTTCTGCCAGCGAGGTTCCAACCTCTTACTGGCAGTGGTATCTAATAATTAGTCCCTTTCTGTCAGCGAGGCCGTCCCTCCTCTGGCAGGGGTTCCTAGTCCCTTTCTGCCAGCAAGGTTTNCTGGCAGTGGTATCTAATGGTTAGTCCCTTTCTGTCAGAGAGGTCCCCCCTCCTCTGGCAGTGGTACCTAATACTTCCCCCATCTACCGGAGGAATTGGAAACTACTTGGGCGGGACACTTGGCCTAATTTTGCTCAGAGGTCTCCTAGAGACACGAGGTTCTTTTACATGCCGTAAATCTACGACACGGAACCCACGGCTTAAAGTTCCTCCCGGAGGACTTGTTCCCTGAATTTTTCCGCCCTTAAAAATTCGACGACCTCCGCCGGGTATTTGAACCCGCGTACTACGAGTCATGAGGTGGGAACGTTACCTCTAGACTACGGAGGCCGCTTACCTACATACATAAATACATAGACTACATTATTATTATTATTATTATTATTATTATTATTATTATTGGTTTGGTTTCTCTTCATTTCTTGCTTGCAGCTACCTTTAAGTTCTTGTCAAGTGAATTTAAGTGAAATATACGTAACTTACAGTTACTGAGTTACCCGACTCTGTTATGAACGTAATATCCCGAAATAAGATGTGAACTAGAAAGTTTATTGGATGGAACCTGGAACCTAGAGAATCTCGCCTGCGAAAACATTCACAACTCTTATGCAATAATTTTTGGGGCATGAGTAGCCCACGCACTTGCTTCCATCAGCAGACGCCGACGTGAAGACTGAGGGTCCCAACTACAGACAGATGCTGCTTGTATGAGTGAATCATCCAATTACACCCCGTAGCTCAAAGCAACAGTGACGACGCTGTGAGATGTGGGAAAGAGACTTGGACTGTAATAAGTTTATCACTGTTAGGCTTTGTCAGCAGAAAAAAAAACAAGCAGACATTGTGGCCCTTTGAGGCCCGAACTTCAGTTGGCGGGAGAACGGATAGCATCATTATATTAGAAGGTTCCCAGGCTCCACCCGCTCGTCCTTCTGTTGAGGCAGTGTCAGAGTGAAGACTTTTTTTAATACTAGCGGGGTGCGACTAAGTCCCTTGTACTGCGGCCACTTCTGGCCTATTGCACCAGCCCCAGATGATAGGTGAGGGTGATTGTGAAGCAATTGGTGGAATGAAGTTTGACAGGGGAAACCGAAGTACTCGGAGGAAGCCTGCCCCAGCGCCACTATGTCCACCACAAATCCCACTTGACCAGACCCGGGATCGAACTCGGGCCGCCGCGATAGGAAGCCAGCGACTAACAGCTTGAGCTATGCCGCGGCCCGAGTGAAGACGTTAGAATGGTTACAAGCAGTGGCTTGAGACAAGGGCCACGGGATTTCGAATTTCTCTATTAGTGTCGAATTGTACTGTCACGATTTAGAGGTGTGGCTATAGATGGGGTATGGACTGGTGAATGGATTTATTGGCCACTTATACACACCACTCGGAACTACCACGCTCAGGTCCTCAGGTCCAGAACTCAACTCTCAACTGACTACTGATAACTGACTGGGTCTCTCCAATTGCCTTCCTTATAACCACTTGGCACGGACCGAGTAGAAAACACCGTTTCCAACAGTAACTTTATGTGTTCGTATTCGTTGCCTTGGAAACCTGTTTAGCGATCCGTTGCCTAGAAACTTGTTGTATAACAACGCTGTTTATTCGCCTACTGCATAGCAACGTCTGTACATGATACAGTATAATTCAGAAAATGATTTGCTGGGCTTCACAGAACGGGAGTTTAATTCTGATTAATCTGAACCGGGAAGACCACATGAGAAGGACATAGTAGCAACTTAGAGTTTGGGAGCCATCTCAGCATTTGCGTGAAGATGGAAGCCGAGGGAACCTCAGTGGCCATGGCTGGTAGCTTCATGACTTAAGCCAGCAATCATGCAAAAGAAAGAATGTGGCAGTTTCCTGTTCATCGAAATAATATAAATAAATTCACTTCTCCCTCGGAGAAAACACTGTTTCTCCACTATAAAGACGGTCCCATTAACCCTATATAAGGACATGGTGGTAGTTTATTTTGAGAAGTATATGAAACAGTGGGCGAATTGAAGAGGGCATGAACGGTAAAGCAAGTGGTACATATAGTAACCACTGTACTTTAGACAGATAAACTTTTTAGGCCTATAATGTCATAAATGAGACTATAAATTTAATAGAAAGGACGACTTGAAGTACGTCTGGTTTCCAAATTCTTCACAACTGCGCACTTGTTAGAACTACGTACACAACTAGACGTGAGATGTGAAAAAGAGTATCTCATATGTTCCAGGCGGGGGGAGTAAGTGTGCAGCTCCTTACAATAAGTGGAAGTGCTTCGTCCAGGTGTCCTTATTGATGATGGTAAGTACTCTGCGCATCACGTGACTTCATATATCGAAACTGCGCGTGCAGTAAAGTTCTTCAAACGAACTGATGGTCTATCTGTGAAGAAATCATAAGCCATGTGACATAAACCGAAGGCTTATGATCAAATACATATCTCATTTTATAAAGAAAATAAGTCCACTCCAAACAATAGCACCCATTTGTTACAAAAAAAATTAAGGTGTAATTTTATAATTTTCCTGAATATGAACCTATTACTTTTAATTGGTCAAATAGCGACTATGTGTCCCCCGTGGTCTTGTTCTCCACACGTATCTCGTTGAATACTAACAGTAACTTGTCTTTACAGCTTGCTAATGATGCGAAAGAGAACTGATAGACGCTGTCTGTGAGCAGTCAGTCGAGAGGCAACACAGCGCAATCACACGAAACACACAGAGAACCAGAATTCAAAATAATTTCTAATACCCTGGTAACTTCAATAATTTGGTTACTATGGGTTGCATCATCCATATATTATATACAAATCTGCATAGGGTACAAAAATTATACTGTAACCATATTTCAAGAATGATGCTTTAGTTGTGTTAGGTCACAACATTTAATTGTTAGCACGTTAGATGCTTACAAATTGTGTGATGAAATTAATTATCAACAATAAAGTCGTGATCTGTGAATATCCAATTCTTTTCCTGGTAACAATACTTGCACCTGCGTCAGTATCAAACAATCTGAGTGCACGTGACACATTAAAATGCCGTATTTCTGCCGCCGTCAGTAATGATCCCAAACTAATATCCAGGAAGCCAACAGTGTCATGAAAACAAGAAGAGCACCAATCTCTTGCCGTCTGGGGGGAAGATTAGCTGGGAATTTTCGGACTCCTTGCAAACTGCTCCCAATGCTGGATTTTCTTCATTTCATAAAGCATATTCAGGGAAAACACGCTTCAGTATTCTCTTCGCTCGGTAAGTGGTATGAAGACGCCGTCTGAACCACAGGGCGCAGAATAAAGTCGCATTCATTTGTGTTTCTGCTGCATGAAATCAGAGATAACCAGCTACACACAATAACCAGATGTACTGTTCTGCAGAGCAATGCAGTCAAAGCACAGATTGATGTTCCCACAGCAACCAATAAGGCGTACCTTAGTAGGAGTAGTCATTTTAGACAGATCTAATTATCCCTGCAAACTTGAATACTGGCTAGGATCACTGAAAGTTCTATCCTTCTAACGACCTTGACAAATTACGAGTGATATCCGTTCTTCGTCGCTCGATCTGCTAACGTCTCTAACAGAGAATTCTGTTGTGGCATTAAAGTGGCTGAAACTACTTAGAATTTGTTTCAATTTCGCCGTCTCACGTGGCGAGGAACTGCATCCATGATGGCAGTGATACTCCGCTAGGGGTTTCTGCTGATGCACGTAGCCGCCATTGTGCATACATTAACCTACTGCGGCCTTACATCACTGCACAATATAACGTAAGTACCCGAACGGCACCAGCTTACACATATGGACAGCGTGGCAACTGGAGGCAGGCCGACAACGGACGGGCGTGCAGCGTCCCGTCGTCCTCAGGAATTCTGCCACGACTAAAGTCACCACTTCGCTCACTAAGAGATTCCCTGAGTTGGATGACGTCAAGTCTTTACTTAAACTTTATTTTCCATGGCAGTGGAAATGTCCGCTGAAATTCAAAGGAGAATAATTTCTTTCATGTCTTCATTCCTCGCCACCCTTTCCACCTTTCCTTTAATCCCTTTGCTACTTTTATCTCCTTCCCTCCTTGATCCGTTGTAACAGTGAACTAGGTTACAAATTTAATCTTCAGATGGCATAATTTCGAAAATAGTGCTGCTGTGTACATGAAAGCCACTACTGTGTCAGAACAATATAACCTACACATAATCAAAAAAAAAAAAACATGCATCACCGCTGTAGTCCACTTCCTCCTCCTCATCATCCGTTAGAGCATCTTACCTACCCCTAGGCGCTAGAGACCTGGGCGAGCCTTGGCCTCCTCTACAACCAGTCCTCATCTTCTCTATCTATCCTATCTCCTTCATCTTCTTCTGGTCGTTCTGAACATCGTCTAGCAATCTTCCTTGGTCTTCTTTTTTTTCTTCTTCTTCTTATGGAATATAGCCTTCCTATTAACATTCTCTTTGGCAAGGCATTATCTTCCATTCTTTCGACATGTCCCAACCATCTTATTCCCTGTGACTTGATAAATTTTTCTATATCTTCCCCTTTCAGTAATATGTTAATCTCTTCATTGTATCATATCCTCCATATATTATTTTCCATCACTAGTCCCTATAACTTGCGTATTATTTTTCTCTCGAACATTCTCAGTGCATTATCTTCCGTTACTGTTAAGGTCCATATTTCTGCCCCGTATGTAGCTACAGGTCTTATCAATGTTTTGTACACCTGTAGCTTAGCTGCAACAAGGACTTATTATCGCTTAACATGAATCTATGTTTATTGTATAACACACATGAACGGAAACGGATGTAGAATGAGACAAAAAGACGTAAACAGAGTGGAACAATTTCGTTGGGTTTTGTGACAGTTTCCTTTGCATGACTGTACAATGAGTATGGTGAGGCAGAACCAGTCTTGGCTTTAGAGGCGCAATATTCACTGTACTCCGTGTTACTGCATAATATACATTTGTCAATGAAATGATAATTCAAGTGACAAAGGCCGTCATATAGGAAATAGAACCGAATAAAAATCACACTGCGGTCTCCTATTCCAACAAACCCCGAGATGTTAAGGTCTTATTTAGGCAACGTACACTTGCAGTCTAATATTATAATTTGATTTATCTCCTGATCTAGCGGGTTAACTCTTGCGCAAGTGGCCACAAGTTCAAACCCTACTCGAATATGATTTTAGTCCGTCGTGACTGCAAATACAGCCTATATTTGTTAGAACTGATTACACGCAGACTAACACCGCCCTTTGAGATCTCAAGGGTTCTTCCATTTCAATTTCCCTTGCCCTTCGTCATTGGGGTATATTTTCATTTTGTCCTCTAGAACAATGATTCATTAATATACTTTGTGCCGTTTCTCAGAATGCCTTCAGTCATTTCTACGCCTCTTGAAAAACGTACACACTGTAGTAAGTTCGTAGAAGACTACACAGACGTTTAATGTTAAGTTAAAAATACTTAACTTCCATTTTTACAATTTTAGACATCGTATTATTTTCACACAATTAACTTCATAAAAGGTCACATATGTCTTCAAGTTACGATTTGTTATTGTTGCTTAGCAACCCTAAAGTAATTGAAACAGATAATTTGGCCATCCGCCTACAGCCGTAAAATTCTTGAAGCCAGATATAAACTTGTAGAGGCAGGCCGTCAAATGGCACCTCGGGCGGCGATCCCTCGAACTGTTAGCAACTAGCACGGAACAGAAAAATACTTAAAGGTTGTGTTGCTGATTATTATTATTATTATTATTATTATTATTTTCTTTTTTTTTGTGAACAACTT